CCTCCTCCTCCTCCTCCTCCTCTTCCTCGCCTCCTCCTCCTCCTCTTTCCTCCCCCGCGCCTCCCCGAGTAGGCGATCGACGCGTTATCCACGAGCCCTGCTCACGCCAGGATTCTACGAGGGGCGGAGTGGAGGCACGGAGAGGAAGTTCAGCCTCTGGATGCCACGCTCTGTAATCCGTGCCCTGCGCCTCCCTGGCGGCAGGAGTGGGGGGCGCAGGACAGGCACTTGGGAGGCAGGGAAGAGGGGAAGGAAGGAGGGAAGGAGGGAAGGAGGGAAGGGAGGAAAGGGAGGGAAGGGAGGGAAGGAGGGAAGGAGGGAAGGAGGGAAGGAGGGAAGGAGGGAAGGGAGGGAAGGAGGAGGAGGAGTAGGAGGAGGAGGAGGAGGAACAGGAGGCGGAGGAAGAGGACTCGAAGGAGGCGGAGGAGGAGGAGCAGCAGCAGACGCCTGGATCGAACGTCGATCCCCGACCGAGGGCCGCGCAGCGGAGCAGAGGCCGCTCTCCGGCCGAGGGCTGCTCCTGCGCGTCGCCGAGCAGGGCGATCTGGACCTTTGCCACGGCGCACCGGGGCCCCGCGGTGTCGATCTTCACGATCCTGTCGTGCTCCGCGAGGTGCTCCGAGTTGCCCCGCCGGGCCACGCCCGCGAAGAAGGCCGGGGCGTCGCGATCGACCACGGACTGCCCGTCGGGGGCAATGCCGTAGAGGTGGCCCTCTGGGTGCCACACCTCCTGAGGAGCGGAGGACGAGGGAAATGGCGGAGGAGGGGGACGGGTGAAGCAAGAGTCATAATGAGAACAAGCATAACAAGAGCAAGAAGAAGACACAACAGTTGCATGAGCATCAATTCTGGAGGTCCGCTCAGATTCCTCGGGTCGGCGCTGACCACCCCCCCGCCCTTACGCGGCGCCGAGCGCGCTGGGGGCACCGGAGCGCGAGGCGCAGCGCTGGACCCCTCCACGGGTCCAGCGCAAATCCACCAAGAACTCCGTGCGGGCCAACCATGAAGAGTACCGTCTGTGCCGGCTTGTTCTTCGAAGGAGGGCCCGCGCGACAGCTCCGCGGGCAACTCGTCGGGGAACTGGGAGCAGAAGCATGTCCAACGGCAACCCCAACTGAGACAGAGCGCGGCTCGGGGGTGGCCCCGCACTGGGTCGCAAAACTCGGAGAACGAAGACGGCATTGACGAGGACACGAGTGAAGGGGAACTGGGGCACACAAATAAATAGATACAAATGACCAGATTCCCAATATTTTCCTATATTTTCTGGGTTTTTGGATTCCCCCCCCACTTCCCATATTTTCCCATATTTTCCTGGGAGTCGAGGATTAATTGTGTCTGTGTTTCTTTCCCTCCTGAACGAGCACGGGGGCGGGAAGAAACGACGAGGAGCGAAGGAGGGCCTGAAGCGCGTCCACGTCGCAAAGTGTTCTGGATCTAGGACAAAGCGAACAGACAAGAGGCTGCGCGTTTCGCCCCCTGGGGCTCTTTGGGCCAAGATGCCTGCGGTGCAGCACCGAATGCACGTAACATAATCGACGATGGGGCCAGTGGCGGAGCGGAGAAGGGCCAGATCGTTATCCCCGAGTTCCGCCCGAAGTTAGGCCGATCGGAAAAGGTGGGAAACTCTGGGATAGACTCCCAGGGGGCTCTTCGGACGCACCTCCTATCAAGGATGGACGCCCCTCCTCCTCCTCCTCCTCCCTCCTCCTCCTCCTCCTCCTCCTCCTCCTCCTCCTCCTCCTCCTCCTCCTCCTCCTCCTCCTCCTCCTCCTCCTCCTCCTCCTCCTCCTCCTCCCTCCTCCTCCTCCCTCCTCCTCCTCCTCCCTCCTCCTCCTCCTCCTCCTCCTCCTCCTCCTCCTCCTCCTCCTCCTCCTCCTCCTCCTCCCAAAACTGCCGATCCAGTCTGTCCCGTCCCCGCGGTCAGGGCCGAGGTCGCCACATGGAGGGGCAATGGTGAGAGGGGGGAGAGGTACAGGGAGGGATGCATCGACCTCGAGTGGCCGGTGCAGCGTCCACGCCTCGTCGATGCATCGTCGCTGCAGACCGCCCCATGCATCGTCTGTACGTCGTCGATACATCGCAGTGATCTCAGCGTTGCATCGTCGGTGCATCGTCGATGCATCAGCCCTTCGAGGCGGATGCATCCCCCCTATGCCTATCCCCCATATCGCTGCCCCCGACATGACCCTCGTCATTGGGGGAACAAGCCATGCCATAAACGCAACAGCTCGAAGACCCGCGCGGAGTTGTCGGATCGACGCTGGACCCCCCTCCCTGGCGCGCGGAGCACGCCGGGAGCGACGCCAGAGGCGCCGCCAGGAGACCCCGGCGCCGATCCGAGCTTGGTGCGTTATGTCATTGCCTGCTCCCCGAGCCAGGGGAGGGCCTGAAGCCTGTCCACGTCGCACCTGCCGGCGGCGGCATCCGAACCCTGCCCCCGCCAACCATCGATTCTCCCGAATCGATGGGAGGCGGGGGTTAGGCTTCGGACTTCGCCCCGTGCTCGACGAGCTCCGAGCCCTACCCCCTTCCCATCGGATTGCCTGAATCGATGATCGGCGAGGGTCGCTTCACATTCCGACCCCTGCCGGGGTTCAAACGCACCAGCTGCTCCAGCTGCGCCAAGCCGTGGCCACGAGGAGGGCCCCCGAAGGCCGCAGAGCTTCGAGCCTCGATCCCCGGAGGTTCGAATCGCTGATCCAGAAGGAACAAATAGAGGAAAAAGAACTATGCACATGCACCGATTCTGGCCGGGCCCATCCTGAGCCCAGGATCGGTGCATACGCCCTCCTACCTGGGCCAGGAAGGCACATGCGCCGATCCTGGGTCGAGGATGGGCCTTGCCAGGATCGGTGCATGTGCACAGTTCTCTTCGCCCGAACAAACAAAAATGGCAGACACATCTTTGCTCGTTGATCAGAGATGGCAGGGCTCGGACCATCGCCGCCGCACCTGTGCAGGCCCTCGAAGTACGCTGCCAGCGCGGAGGCCACGCCCGCGTACAGCTCCGCCTGCAGGGCGGCGGCCGAGGCGGTGCTCATCGGCGCCGCTCGACCGCCGCCTGCCCCGCCCAGCGCCGGCGTGGCCGGGAGGGGCCGCTCGGCTCCGCGATGCCAGAGCCAAAGCTGCCGTCGTCGTCGTCGTCGTCGCCGTCAGCGTCGTCGTCGTCGTCGTCGGGGAGGAGGAGGAGGATCGAGGAGTAGGAGGGGAAGAGGCGGATTGAGGAGGAGGGGAAGGAGGATCCAGTGTAAACCCAAGAGTCATCAGCGATGATGGCATTAACCCTCCCTCCAAGCTCCCTTTTCACAGGCCCCTACAAGAGTTCATTTCCATTAAGGGAAATGCCTCGTTGGAAGACAACCGTTTGAAGATCCTGAAACATGCCAAAACATTGTTCTCGGGATGTCAACGTGACGGATCAACCTGACTGCTGCGTCTTGACGATCCGGAGTCGCGCCAGAACGCCATTTTTGGGACTTCAGCACCGCGAGCCAATATAAACGTCGCATCTGCATAATCCTGAATCTTTCCGAAACACCGCTTCTGGGACGATATCATGGGAATCATTGAAACTCTTGCAAATGTTTGAAACGAACGTAGGCGGCGTTAGGGCGAGAGCGACGTGTTGAAAACCACCCGCCCCAAACCCGTGGAACTCTTGCAAATGTTTGAAAGGACCGTGCGCGGCGCGTAGGCGAGAACCACATTTTGAGAAGGAGCCGCCCTCGATCCGTAAAACTCGTGCATCTAAAAACACGACGAATGTGCGCGGCGCGAAGGCGAGAGCCACAATTTGAAAACCACCCGCCCTCAATCCACGAAACTCTTGCAAATGATTGAAAGCAACGTGCGCAGCGCGAAGACGAAAACCACATTTTGAAAAGGAACCGCCCTCGATCCGCAAAACTCTTGCATTTTTTAACGACGAATGTGCGCGGCGCTAAGGCGAGAGCCACAGTTTGAAAACCACCCGCCCTCAATCCGCGAAACTCTTGCAAATGATTGAAAGCAACGTGCGCGGCGCGTAGGCGAGAACCACATTTTGAGAGGGAACCGCCCTCGGTCCGTAAAACTCTTGCGAATTTAAAAAAACGAATGTGCGCGGCGCTAAGGCGAGAGCCACAGTTTGAAAACCGCCCGCCCTCAATCCGCGATTTTTTCCACATTTATATCACAAGTGTGCGCGGCGCTGGGGCGAGAGCAATAATTTGAAAACCACCCGCCCTCAATCCGCGAAGCTCTTGCAAATTTATATAACGAATGTGCGCGTCGCTGGGGCCAAAACCATAATTTGAAAACCACCCGCCCTCAACCCGCGAAACTCTTGCAATTTGTTAAACGAATGTGCGCGGCGCTAATGCGAGAGCCACATGTTGAAAACCACCCGCCCTCAATCCGTGAAGTTCTTGTAATTTTTGAAAACGAAGGTGCGCGGCGCTGAAGCGAGAGCCACATGCTGAAAACCACCCGCCCTCCATCTGTGAAACGGCTGTCAACTTTGAAGCTCCAGAACCATAAACGGCGGGAGGTCTCAGGCGAAACGCCCGGCCCGCCCTAAAAACTTGCCTCGGGGTGCGATAAGGGGAAAATAACTTATAAGGAGAAAGAATTGAAGAGGAGTGTGGAGCAGGAGGGGTAGAAAGAGGAGAAGGAGGAGGAGGAGGAAGAGGAGGATAAAAATCAAGGAGTGGGGGGGAAGAGGAGGAGGAAGAGGATCGGGGATGAAGCGTCGTTGTCGTCGTCGTCGTCGTCGGGGAAACAGCGGGAGACCCTCAGATCCAGGCGTTGCAACCCTTGCACAGCGGGCGTTTGCGTCCTGCTTCGGGACCTGGGGCCCCCACAGACCGATCCAGCTCGCAGAAAGACACAAGCTGATAGGGGTTTGGGGCTCTGGGCGTGGTTTACCGCGGTGTACTATTTTTTGCAACGTCAGGTCTGAGGTAACGCCCTCGGGAGCGCCCAAATGGCATGTCAGAGGCCGGGGGCGGGGGGGTATTCCGCCCTGTTGCTGCTGCTGCTGCTGTTGTTGTTGTTCCTGCTGCTGCTGTTTGCTGGTGCTGCTGTTGCTGCACCGCCGGCCCGTCCAGGACAGGCCTCACCGCGCTCTCCCTGGCAGGGAGGAGGAGGAGGAGGAGGAGGAGAAGGAAGAGGGGGAAAACCACTGCGAACCCAAGACTCAACAACGATGTTGGAATACGCCCTCCTTCCAAGCCGCCTCTTCACAGGCGCTATAAGGATTCATTTCCACGGAGGGATTGCCCCACTGGGGTACGACCGTGTGAGAATCTTGAACCGCGCCATGATTACCATTCCCAAGACGTCAACGCCACGAGTTAATCTAACTGATGCGCCGTGGCGTCCCCAATCGTGCCAAAACATCGCAAACACACAAGTCGTACGCCAGCGGCGCGTGGACGCTGACAGTACTGTACAATGCTGAGCTTCCACATGCGCAGAATTCAGATTGGCACGAAATGACTCTCTCTGCACCATGGTCGCCCACTCGTTGCGCGGACGCCCACAACGCCTGACATGCCGCTGCGAAGCCGGAACTGTGGTGTTCGGGACGAGCGTACGGGAGCGAAGAACATCTGCGGCAGGTGATCGGGCGACCTTTCCGTAGAGCAGCAATTGCTCATGCAGCAAGCGCCTGTCCAAGGGTTGGCAGATGGCACTTTGGAGCACTGTTGCGTTGGATATACGAGACGCATAAGACGAAGGAACGCGCAACATTGATCTCAAGCATCGGCAATAGAAAGCATTCAGTCTCCTGGTCTCGGCCGCGTCCACCCATGCAGATTGCAAGCCGTACGTGAGCTTCGAAAGAATGACGGTGTCGAAGATGCGTATTTTTTTTCTGGGCAGTGAGAAAGACGCGTGGCCCCACAACCTTTGCAACGCCGTGAAATCTCCCCACCTTTGTTCCAGTTTGCGAGATAAGTCCGGCATGGTCTGTCCGTCCGCGTAGATCCCCACGCCCAAATAGGTCATGCTGTCCTTCATCGGAATAGCGTCCCCGGTAGGCGTCTGGAGAACATAATTTCTCTTTGCTCCGATCAGCTGAAGCTTTGACCAGCGAAGCGCCATGCCGCACAAGCCACCGACATGCGCGATAGAGTCTAGCATTTCTTGTAGTCGGGCTTGGCTGCGGCCTGCCAAAAGGGTGTCGTCTGCGCATAGGATGCACCCCATGCGCCCAGCTTCGAGGTCCGCCCGGGCCTCCGGCGAGAGTCTGGCAGAAGCATCGTGGACGATCCCTGCCATGAGCATCACGAACAAGAATGGGGACAACGGGCATCCCTGAGAAATTCTGGATGTTTGCTCTCTGCTATCCGACTCTGCGTCGCCGTCGATGACGCAGAAACGGCGCTCCGAATATATGTCATGCGCAATTCGGGCATTTTTTCCTTGTAATCCGAACCGGCGGGGGGCCACCATGAGCGCGTCCACGTTGATAGGGTCGAACGCCTTCTGCCAGCCTAAAGCCACCATGCCGACTTGCCCGTCCTTCCAAACCAATTCCATATCCATGCGCCGGCGCACCATGAAAATAGCGTCGCCGGTGCTCCGGCCAGCGCGGAAGCCGAACTGCGTGTTCGTCAGCCGTCGCCCCGCCCCTGCCCGCTGCAGTCTTTTCAAAAGAATGGAAGCGAAAGGCTTGTAGGTCACGCTCGGGGATCTTCTGACCCGGGTCAATCCAGACCCGGGTCAGCAGGAAACCAAAAACTGCAATGCAGGAAAAAAAAACTGCACCGCAGGTCTTCGCAGACCCGGGCCAGCCAATACGCACGGCCGCCTCGCGGCCACGAGCGGCCCCCTAACCCGGGTCAGCCAGAGGGGGTCTTCGCAGGATCCTGCAGGATCTGGCGCCCTGGCTGACCCCCGTTTGCACTGACCCCCGTCTCGAGGCCCCCGACACGCAGGTGAGACTGATTGGCCGGTAGTTGTCGCAGAGCGTGACGCATCCCTTCTCGTGAAGGGCCATCACGTTTGCGTAGCGCCAGTCCTCGGGGATACTTTCTTTCAGCCAACATGCGTTGCGCGCGTGGGCCAGGTGAGCCCTTCCGGCTTGCTCGCAACTGCGTGCCAGTTCTCGCTGCAAACGCCATCTGGCCCACATGCTCTCCCCTTCTTCAAGCCGCGGAGAGTGTCGCCCACTTCTTTTTCCGTGATGTCCCCAAGGTCTGCCGGCAATTCGTCTCCCAATGGCTCGCCGTCGGTCGCTGCTGTTGGCCTGACGTGCCACTGGGCTCGCTCTAAATATTCGGTCATAGTGTCAAACCACATGTCGCTGTCAACCAATGCGCCGCTCTTGTCCTTCAGCCTGCCGTTTCTCGGTTTCCGAGGTTTCCGGCAAGCCCGGATGCTCTGCCAGCCCCCTGTTGCGAGTTGTTTGCCCAAAAAATTGGTCTCGTCTTTATTGGCCATGTTCCGAGCCGTTTTGTCCAGCTCGCGTTCCAAAGTTGCGTCCCCGGCTTCTCTCGCAGAGCGTTTGCGGTCCAACGCGACCAGCGTTTCCTCGGATATCCACGGCCTGTTCGCTTTCGGATGCCAAAATATCGCCATGCAGAATTCAACGCACCGAATCAACCGTAGCGCTCTCGCGATCCCAAGTCGTTCCAAAACACCATTGCTTGCACGGTAACCATGACAAGCAAATAAAACTTTCGAGTGCAAGGAAAAACCCTCAAACCATGATACAGCTGCAAATGTTTGAAACGAATGCACGCGGCGCTAAAGCGATAACCGCACGTTGAAAACCACCCGCGCCCATTCCGTGAAAGGTGTTGAAGCGAGCGTGCGCGGCGCTATTGCGAGAACCACATTTTGAAAACCACCCGCCCTCCATGTGCGAAATTGTTGTAAGGTTAAAAACTTCAAGCTCATAAGTGGTAGGGCGATGATTCCAGGCAAAACGCCCGGCCCGCCCTCCCGACCGGC